GGGGGGGGGGAATAACACGCGCACGCATACACTTTACTAGCCGCCGTATGGATCAACACATATAGTATTTGACTGCACTGCACTTGAGACCATTCTAATCTGCATCGTTACGAGGCAATAATCTGCGCAGCGTCGAGATGCACATGATTGGTTCGGGCTGATTCGTGCGTCGACGTCGGAGCAGGCTCTGTGATTCTGCGTTGTGCATGATTGTGGGAGCGGGGTAACAGCATTCAGAAGTTGGGCGCCTGACAGATGTAGGCTTGCAGATTTCATGTCATGACTCAACCTGGAAACTTGCTGGTCTTGCACACTTGGGTCATTATATGTCAAACTGGTGAAATATATCGAAAAAGGTATTGTTCAACCCAAGGAAAGAGTGACTTACAGCACCGAGAACACTAAAAACTTGTAGATCGGCATGGAAGAAGTCACAATCGACGAGGGGGGTCAAGCGACGGCGGGTAAGCGAACAAATTTATTATCCCGTCTTCGTTCTGTGCTCAATCAAACCCATACCGAGATTGAGAACTGACCCTCATGGATGGAATCACAATAGATGACCGATCATTCGGGGCTTTGAAGACTTACCAGGTATCTCAAGATCCTGCGCTTATTGTGCACCAGGCCGTAAGCAGCGATGGGGGGCATTTGATGATAGTGAAGAGGCCGTCTCACCTGTAAGTACGAGACACATATCCGAGGCATTAAAGTCGAATTTTACTGCTTTTTATTCCGATACATTCGACTCCGTGTATTTGCGTATCTACTCGCATCAATCAGTGAGGTACTTTACGGCTGATAATAGCATCTTAGCGAGACGAACACGGATGTAGAAGCGCATCTGAAACTCGAGCTATGGAATATATCGATGGGCGGACCACCGTTTATGAAGAGCTCTGGCTCTATTTTCATGGAAAGTGGGCTTCATTCAACACCCAGGGTGGTCTTCTCAGATGATCTCCGCATCGTTCTTATTAGTGATCAGCTATATCGCATCTCCTTGGATGGCGGACCACTATCAATCACTGCAGTGCATGGTCGTATACCAGCTGAAGACAATCCAGACACTGTTCGATGGGTTGTCCGCCACGACGAACTGCTCTTCTTGGCCAGAGTTGACACTACATTTTTTGATCAATGTCGGGAAGATGACGTAAGTCTTGAGCGTAACATCCAGCAAGGAGCACCAGACACAAATACCAACAAGTCATTCTCGCTATGCAAATTGTGTCTCCGTGAACATTCCCCGCCGGGATTGTACGTCTGCGACATTTGCTACGTCCCTGATGACAGAATCGAGATATGCCGTGGCTGCGTTTGCCAAGGCCTCTGGTGCAGAGACACGACACATATTCTGACGGCCAAGTCCAATTACAACCGTACACTGAGCTGGAGGAACACTCACACATTGTCCAAGATTGATTTGAGGAATGATGCAAACACATCAACAGAGACGTCTCTGTTCTCAACGCGTATTGGAAGATCGATCGAAAGCTGCCCCACTGTCAACAAAGACACTGAGCAGCTGCTGTGGTTCATTGATGCAACTCACATATTGGCGTGCGACTACAAGACTGGGAACAATTCATTTCATGCCGTACGAAATGTTGATCCAGAACATGGTAAGCTTTTCCCTGCTATATATGTATTGTCACTGTTCACCCAATTGATGCTGTAAATAGTCACATATATTTACGCCGCTTGTATTAGCTCGTATCTATTCTCATTCTCGATCGAGAAACGCGATAGTGCCATTATCATTCGTTCTGATTCTTTTCGGATCATTGACTCTGGTACCAAAAGAATCGTGCAGTTAGAACGCTTTTGGACCAATGAGGCTCGACTTCCAGCAATTCAGAAGAGCTCAAAAGTTGCCATATCAACTCCTACAAGCGTTCTTGGGGCGCGCATGGCTTGCTACATAGCTGCTAGTGGTCAAATTGTCTACCAGCCACTTCCCTGCAGGATTATTTTCCGCAAAGGACAAGAGCTTCCAGGAAGTCTGCCATCTGCGAGACCAAATGTAGTGACGATAGTAAAGTCCCCAGTACGTACACAAAATGCTAGTACATGGCGACACCTTTTCGAAATCCCTTCATCACTATCTTGCAAATACGCTACTACATACTACTTTCCCGGCCACACTGACGAACTTGGCACTCGTAGAGGAACGAGTGTGGTGCTTCTGGCTTTACCAGAGCTCAATCAGTTGCCTGTCAAAGTAGACCTCGACTTACCTAATGATCAGTCCCAACCTTGCGATAGCCCCATGGAGCCACTTGATGAAAGCTTCACCGTTCATGAAAAGAGACAACGCAAGGAGCAAGTCGAGAAGCGCCTTGTACAAGAGCCAGAAAAAGAACAAATGACAAGCTCGATTGGCCATTACACTCTTCGCAGAGGGACTCTTTGTCGTGCTTGTAGTGGAGTCTTGGGGGACTCATCGCTTCTCAACACATCCGATCATTGGGAGCCTACCTCAATAAGGAAGTTGGACGGGTTCTTCCATGGGACCGGCTCAAAAAAGTCTTCAGAGAATTCCAAGCTGATACCCGGACGATCAGTTTTCCGAGTGAATGCAGTATCTGACGACACGGAAGATAACAATGAAGGCACTCTGCAAGAGTCCGACATTTGCGCTCTAGAAGACAGGCGGGGTACAAATCAGCAAACAACGCAATCGCATGGATACCATGAATATCAGGAGCTGACAGGTGCCGATATAAACTCAGATGTTCATCAGAGGTTCTTATATGAGCACCACGCACATCATCCATCTCTTGTTGAATTTGCAAAAGCAATACTTGATGGCTGTCATCTTTGCAGTCTGTTTCTTGATGGCTTAGGAGACGGCCAACAGGGAGTAGTACAAGACCTGCTCAACGCTCATGGTAGAGGGGTCTTTGGAATGACCACGGACCATAACCAAACGGATTCCAAACTCAAGGTTCCTGAAGCCAACTATGCAAATGTCAAAGCTCTACTTTCCAGCAGGAATGATATCAAATGGGAGCGATGCTCCACAAATCTGGTACTGAGAATCAAAACATCCGCCCATGGTAAGACCGCCAACCTAAAGTTGTGTCTTTACAAATACCTTGATGGAGATGACATTAAGCCGGCATTCCGAGCCCGTATCAGGATGGGAGTCCCGGACAAGTACCAGAATGGGAATCAGGGTTCCAGCGCCTCTCTTCAACAACAAGACAACCTGAAGTGGTTTGAAGATCCGATTACTGATCCTATGAGATACACTGGCTCGCCCCTCGCCATGGACTCTTGTCGTCGTTGGCTTCGGCAATGTTGTTCATCCCATAGTTGTGTACCGCCAGGCATCACTTCTCTGCCACCAACTCGTGTCATTGACGTGGGCTCTCCCGATGGAAATCGACCACCGCACTTATACATCACATCAGCTGTCAAAGACGCAGGAATGATGTATTTGACCTTGAGTCATTGTTGGGGACGGAATAACTCATTCGAAACTCTGACAACGGACAATCTTGAAAGGTGGACCCAAGGATTTCACCTGGAGACGCTTCCCCAGACTTTCCGTGATGCAGTTTTGATTTGCAGATCGCTCAATGTGAGATACCTGTGGATAGACTCCATGTGCATCATTCAGAAAGGCGACAACCTGGAAGATTGGAGGCGCGAGGCACCAAAAATGGCTGCAGTCTATAGTAACTCACTTTGCACCTTGGCTGCGCTGTCGTCAACGAGCATGTCATCAGGATGTTTTGCAGTACGAAACTCACTGAGATATGAGCCACTACTACTTCGAAGCAAAGAAGAGGGAGGCTTGAACTTTTTGGCTCCACGACGTGTATACGGAGCCAGTGGCGGTGCGAAGACCGCAGAGAAAGTCCACCATCTCAACTCGCGAGGCTGGGTATTCCAGGAGCGTATGCTCAGTCCTCGCACACTAGGATTTTCATCTGACGGCATCTCGTGGGAGTGCGATGATCTGCATGCCACTGACATATACCCCCAGGGTATCAAACAAAAGGACTTCTTCTCATCCACCGACTTTATGGGCAAACACCATTTCAAGGAGTTAACCATGCCGCTTCTGAGACCCTTGATTGACAGCACATATCGCGCCTCATTTTTGGTGGCATGGTATGAGTTAGTGGAGGAATATTCCAAGTTGGGCTTGACCAATGCCAGCGACAAGCTTATAGCTGTCGCTGGTATCGCTCAGGTCATCCAGAAAGCCACCAGGTTCGAGTGGTATCATGGTCTTTGGTACGATGCTAGCGACCCACAAATGTTCTTGTCCCAGCTCCTCTGGACCTCGCCTCATCCACGACATTATGACGAATCTTCGGTTGGTGGACCTATCAACACAAACGCCCCGAGCTTCAGTTGGGCAAGCATAGGCTCTCAAGCCGATCACCGCATAACTTTCCACGCCCGCTTCATCAACTTGAACGCCACTTCTGACGGCGATTCGAGGCGCAACTATTACTGGTTGCCGTTGGTCAAGCAACAAGACGGCGGTCAGTATTCCTTTGTCGAATGCATATCACAATTCGGAGTCATGGATGTCCATGAGGCTCCTAAAAACACACTGAAGAAGCATCTTAATGACCCTTCAGAAAAGATGCTCCTGGACTTCAGGACCGAGGTCTTACACCTCGGAGAACCCTTTGATGTTGATAAACAGTCGGTGGATAGCATGCTTCCACCTCTAATACTACGAGGGCACGTCAGGGATGTCACATTGGTCAGGGCCGACACTCGCCAAAACCTTTGGAAATATCCATGGGCAGAGGAGCAGGAGAATTCCAGTGGCAAAGATGATGGCAACGATGATCTCAGTCCCTTTAGTAAAACAGCATGGTTTTTCCCAGACTCGTGTCCTTGCAACATAAGGGACGGAACTTCAGTAAAATGTCTCACCATTGCCCGGTGGCAAAGGTCTTGGGACGAGCGCTGGTTCTGTGCTGGCATTGTTCTAGTATCAACCAAATTCAGCGCACACATTACTATCGGAGGCGTCACGGAAAGTACACGGATCTTCACCCGTGTCGGGTACTTTGAGCACTCTTGGAAGTCTAGGAGCTCAGATTGGGAGAATGATGGGGAGAGGAAACTTATTCCGTTGATTTGATTGTATTTCGGTCTTATGATGAATTAATTTCCTCAACATCATGAAAACCAACCTCTGCGCAATCCAAAATATACCGTTCTAGACATGAGCTCACGACGCGCACCTTTTGGAAAATCGCATTTCCCACGTCCGCATTTCGAATTACCGCCTTCTTGTTAAAAAAAAGCATTTTTTTGAATCGCATTACTCATCGTAAACCCCTCACGCTGAGCTTCTCCGATATGGTTTATCGTGGGTCTACAGGGCCTTTCCAAATACACCTCCTGGAAAGAGTGTGGTCACCATCAAAACCCTCCAATCAGGCACCTGCGAAGGAAGACCATTGACTGATCGCAATATTCCTCCAAAGTTTCTATGGCAAATATTCTCCAAGTCTTTCACGGACCAATGACCAACCCACCCAAATGGCTAAGTAGTCTACCATTCTAATTTGACACTTGTTTCATTTCACCTCGCGACGAAAAGAACATGCTTGACTGCAATCCTTTATGCCCTTCCCGGGTACACAATAGGACAGACGGCAAGAGACAGCAATTCAGACTCCTCGAGCACTATGGCAAGTCACTATCAATTGCTTTTCCCAAGGTCATGCAAATAGAATAGCTCACATGAAATGGAGGGACCAGCACAACCACGGATGCAGCTGTCCAATGCCGAAATTGCTTGTAGAAATTGCTGATAGCAAGGTCCAGGCCCCTGAGCCGGAGCAATTGCAACACAGATGTGAGGTGCATTCCAAAACTTTGCGAAATCGGCAACACAGCTCTGAAAGCATGGGCTTTTGGTAGAGATGGCCGGCGGCAGCGTTGGGTTTGGGGGGCAGACGAAAGGAGGAAAGGTGGGAAGGGCAATATGGGGAAGATCGGGGCTGGTAGGGGTGGGAAACGAAAGACTGGCAGATATGGTGATTGCCCTGGTGACTGCACTGGATGCAGCGGCCTTTGCAAAAAGAAAGAGAGTCCACTTCATCTTTGAAATGATTGATATGGTAGTGTCTTTACAGATGCAAGCTGTTGGTGTTGTGACCACGGTCCCGGATAAAACGAGAGTGTGGCCTTTTATAGTCTTTGTCTGCAGGTAGTTGCACCAATGTCACTTGGATTTTGGTTTCGCAATCATACATTTCGGGAAATTTAGACCTGAACTAAGTGACAGAGCACTATTACTGCTTACGGAATTAGAGTTGACACCTGACTAGTCCAACGAATAGTACATCGGGATGACATGGTGGTGCCGTGTTTGCCCAGCCGTTGGGTCTGTGGTATACCACCGTAATTAGATAAAACGTTAACATGTCTCAACCGTATGGTGTGATGCTACCGCCACCACGTCTCAGCCTTTCAGCTTTCCGGAGTATCTATCCGATGGGTGAGAATATAAGAAACGTACTGCCATAATATACCATTTGGGGAAACCATTTCGTCCGCGCAGTGTCCAATATTCTTTAATCATTATATTTCGACGTCTTGCCTTCTTAGAATGAGTGTATCTTAGTTCATAATCGATTTGTCTTAATAATAAATATTCCTGTTACTCAGAGTGTCATATTGACTTCTAGTGCTAAATTATCAGAGTAGAACAGCAACTAACACGGTGCTGTTGGCGTTGATGGTTTCACTTTCCCGGACGCCGTACCAATGAAAAGAAGTGATCTTGCGATGGGGTATATTCGATACTCTCGACTGATTGGGAGGGATCGTCTTCTAGTGACCGGCCAAGTGCGCAGCGCAGGAGCGATCTCTAGCATGAGCTACGCTTCAACGCGTGAAGAACCATGAGAGGGCCTCCCAGAATATCAGCGCAAAATCATTTACACCTTCTGTGGACACTTTAGTCCCCGACCTTATATCTAGTTGTGTCTTCGCGGCAAGCAAATGAGGGTGCTTGTAGCCGTGAATCTTCCAGGTCGTGGTTCCTTTTCCCACCATCCTTGCATCCTTGCTTCGTTTGTCGCTCTGCACACTGCAATCTAAGCTGTCGAGTCTCGAAATAGAGCAATCGCGGGAAGAGATACAGCTCTTGCATCGTCCAGGCGCGGCATTGTCGATACTGGTGGCATATACATTCAAACCCTCCCTTCGAAACATTTGAGTGGCAGTCGAACAGCGAGAAATGTGTCCAGATCCAGATTTGTCGTTTAAGAAGCCTTCAGATACCCTTGATGCTTAAGCGGTCACGATGGCGACAATGGTGCAGACAAATACTCTCGGAACGTCCGCCACTTGTGTCGCGAACTCATTCGCGTCATCCTGGGCAATCAAAAACAGCCGATTCAGATGTTCTGGAGGCCTAGTGCTATTGTGATGCCGCTGACATTCTGCAGTATTTTCGGTAACTTTTCCCAACTCAAATTGAATCGTCCCACATTTATACTGGTCTTTGTTATCTCGTAGGGCTGGTCCCTACCCCAGCAGTAATGTAGCTTAGCTTAGCTGGTACACAGTGGGTTGAATCTCTATAGCGAAGTATGCGGCGCCAAGAACACGACGGATCATTACTAGACACATAGTAAATGCTTCGGCGTAAATGTCGATGTTGGCATTCGGCATCTGGGATTGAGTCTGCATCGTTCCCTTTTAACGGGTAAGCTGAAGAATTGATATTTCTAGCATGCCAAGCATGCACCGTGTCTATCGGAGATCCCCGGAGTTGGCGTGTGAGGCTGAGTATACCTTTGAGTGCCAGAACGTCCATTACCTACTGCATGGGTGCGAATGAATCAATGGTTCTGATGTAGTCTTGCCATCACAGATACCAAAGAAGCTGATCCCATCAAGTTACATGCGCTCAACATAAGTTTCGGTCAACATTATTATGTACCAAAACAAGACGATTCCTTGGGGTAAAAGGCTATCACAAACAGCGTATGTAGTACTCTGTAGAAGTCGATCCATTGCGAAAGTAATGTGTAGCGATTGTGCACCGCAGTGGAAACCATAGATACTACCCTACCTGGCATATCGGGGCGGTAATAACCGTGTCTGTGACGGTAATTGCAGGGGTCCAGCAGGTTTAGCGTTACCTTACCCCCGCTAAATTTGCAGGGTCGAAAGTGCGGCAAGGCAAAGGATTGGAGCAATTTATGGACAAGTCTCCAGGGCGGGTTAGTATATCTGCAAAGCGATGCGGAGGACTTGTAACATTCTTAAATACAATTGGACGAGGATCTGAACCGGTGATCAGGCCTCACAGGCTGCATCTGCACTGTATTTTTGGTTCAAACAAGTCCAAGAGTTCAGCCTGATCCATATCCTCCAAAACCTCCTTGCGAAGAATTGATCTATCTCACGAAGAATGCTAGTTTTTGCAGCATGGTCGTTTCCAGCTGGCTGTGCGCCGTTCGATCCTCTGCCTTGTCATTCGCGAGGTATCTATTTCATGGACCAAAGCACCCCTAACGGATGGTGAGAGAACATGGAGCGGGCCACAAAGAGGCCAAGGCTTGTCGACTCTAGTGAACCACCACAAAACGCCCACCACAACCACCAAGAATCTAGCCGTTTCGACGGTACGGGGATTGCGATACGGGATGGCACTGTCCAGGTTCAAGGCGATCTTTATGTGAATTCAAGCCACGCTACGGAGGAGACCAAGAATATAAACCCCGCAAGAGAACGAATACTCGAATCTCTCCGCTTCGAACAGATCGATGCCCGGCAATTGAGCATCAAGAAAGCACACTCCAAAACATGCCAGTGGTTTCTGAAAACCGCATTATACCGGAAGTGGGAGAGCAGGGACCTAGGATCGCACGATAGTCGATTCTTGTGGATCAAAGGCAAACCCGGAGCTGGAAAGTCTACACTAATGAGGTTCTTATTGGAACACAATCGCAGCCTCGCCCGCCGATCGAGTCGCACGGAGGTTCTGATCTCATTCTTCTTCAATGCTAGAGGTGAAAGCCTAGAAAAGTCGACCCTCGGCTTATATCGGTCACTCTTATTGCAACTCCTAGAAGCACGCCCAGAGTCACACCGGATATTGGACGCCGTGCGACCGGGTCGTCCATGGACCGTGGATCTACTAAAGGATCTATTCGAGAAAGCATTACAGGAACTGGAGGAAACCTCGATCGTTTGTTTCGTCGATGCCCTGGATGAATGTGAAGAGACAGAGATTCGAGATATGGTTCGGTTCCTAAGCGATCTTGTCGAAACTGGAGGTCGACTCCACATATGCTTCGCAAGCAGGCACTACCCACACATCACGATTCAGACAGTACTCAGCATTGTCCTTGAGGACCAAAATGAACACGGAAATGATATTGCGCGTTACATCGACGCCAGGCTACACCTAAAGGAAGGCAAGCGGGCAGAAGAGATCCGTCTAGAGCTGAGGGAAAAGGCGTCAGGGGTCTTTATTTGGGTAGCTCTTGTCGTGGAGATTTTGAACAAGGAGTACGAAGCAGGGCGCAGCTATGCTTTACGCGAGCGACTACGACAACTTCCCAGCGATTTGCATAACCTTTTTCGCGATATTCTTAGTCGCGATAACAAAGACCGAGCCAGCCTTCTCTTGTGCATTCAGTGGGTTTTATTCGCCAAAACTCCCCTCACACCTGTGCAGCTGTACTTTGCACTTATTTCTGGTGTAGAACCTGCATGTCTAGATCAAATAGATCTCGAGGATCATTCAGATGACAACATTCGACGGTTCGTCCTGAACAACTCGGAAGGACTAGCAGAACCTACCAAATCTGCGACTCCTACAATCCAATTTATCCACGAATCAGTCAGGGATTTCTTACTTAAAGAACAAGATCTATACGGGATCTTTCCTGAACTGCAAGGAAACATCGTTGGAAGAAGCCATGAAGCACTAAAACAGTGCTGCATGAGCTACATGAGCTCACCGAATGTGGTCAAATTGAAACCGTTCCTTCCCGACACCGCATTTTTTGCCCCATTCCTCGCGTACGCCAACCAGGGTGTTTTGCACCATGCTGATCAAGCAGAAAGGAACGGCATAAGTCAACAGGACTTTTTGACTGCATTCCCACTTTCACAGTGGGTAGAGCATTATAACTGCCTTCAAAATGATCACGTGCGTCACTATTCGTCAAAAGCCAGTCTCAGGTATATCATGGCGGAAGCTGGAATGCCAGCGTTGATCGGCGTCCTACCCGCTGGTCAATCCTGCTTTGATGTCGAAGATGAGCGATACGGGCTTCCAATCCTTGCAGCGGCGGCAGCCAAAAATCACGACACGGTCCTAGCTATGCTCAATATTGAAGCACGGTGCTTGCCCAATTTCTCATTTGAGGATTTTCGCTCACAATATCCTCCACTCCCTGACAAACTGAACGCTTCGAGCCGGGATTTTACTTTTGATAAAAGCAAGGCAAGCCTTCCTCAACTGATTCAATACGGAAGCGAGATGCTCTGCCTCTTTTATCTTTTAACCAAAGATGAAATTGACCTGAGGGGTAGTGAAAACAGAGCACTTATCCCGCAGGCTCTTGAGAATGGGTTCATCGTGGTAGCTAAGCTGTTGATCGATCAGGGCGCTGACATTCACACTGCTGACAAAAACGGAGAAACACCATTATCCAGGGCTTCGCGATACGGATATAGGGAAGTAGTCAAATGGCTACTCGACCGCGGTGCCGATATTTCGTCTGCAGCGGATAATGGTGAAACACCATTACACTGGGCTTCCTGGAATAGGCATATCGAGGTAGCTGAGCTATTGCTCGATCGCGGTGCCGATGTCTCGGCTACGATGAACGACGGCGCAACTCCATTGCACTGGGCTTCCTGGAATAGGCATATCGAGGTAACTAAGCTGTTACTCGATCGCGGTGCAAATATTTTCGCTACAGCGAATAATGGGGCGACACCACTACACTGGACTTCCTTGAAAGGGCATGTTGAGGTAGCCAAGCTGTTAATTGATCGCGGTGCCGATATCTCAGCTGCAGCGGATAACGGCACAATACCTTTACATTGGGCTTCTTGGAATGGACATATCGAGCTAGCTAAGCTGCTACTGGATCACGGTGCCAATATTTCAGCTACAGGGCATGACGGCGCAACACCATTGCACTGGGCTTCCGGGAATGGGTGTGTCGATCTAGCTGAGCTACTACTCGATCGCGGTGCCGATATTTCGGCTGCAGCACAACACGGCGCGACACCATTGCACTGGGCATATCGGAATGGGCATTTCGGGGTAGTTAACTTGTTACGCGCTCATGGTGCCGGTTACTATAGGACCAGGAACAGTGGATAATACACAACCGAAATGTTGTGAGATCGCTGCCACGGTATCTCGCATCGCGCGCGCTTCGGCTTGATTACGTCTCTAAGGGTAGCAATGCGAGACGTCGCCAAAAATAGATCACAAAGCTGCGTAAGATTATCCACTATCTATCCATATTTGATCCAATGCAAACCATATATATGCATCGCTCAAAAATTCAGTTCACGCCTCGTCCTTACCCAGCCTCGCCTCGGAAAAACATTGCAACCTCACGTATGCATTCCACACGATGAAAGTTCACATCGTTTCGACACGATGTGCATTTGCTGACATCCGAGTTACGAGTCACAAGGACTAGGAAAGTACAGACAGGAGAAGGGATTCGGTGAAGTGTTGTTAGTTGAAGAGAGGATTTTACAAGTATGGCCAGATTCGGTGCAGGATAAAAGCGTGTGAGTTTCTTGGCGCCCGGCGATGCGACCGGTCAGATGTGAGAGTTGGCCGTGGTGATGCAATGAAACATCAGTCGAGAAAGCCCCGGTACAAAGATGGAATGGTTCTCCGCCCAAGATTCCTGTGTGAGCAATCCTAGAGCCGCCGGAAGACTAATTAGATCGGTGCCGCCTGGGAGATCTCCGGTGTTGTTTGTTCTTGTCTTTTTTGCCCTTATCCTATGGAGTGGGGTGCGATTTCCACCTAGAACGTTCCGAACATGGAGATGGCGATCTCGTATCAGATAACAGCCGCGCATTTTGCTGCATCCTTTCTGTTCAAAAAAGACAGAGTGGCCTGTCGGTTACGGCTGCATTTGTATCATCAGATGAATGAAAACAGATGAAAAGCAGGGGGGTTTGAAAAATGCCAAGACATTTTGTCCTGCCAATCCTACCTGCTTATAAGTTTATACTGCTCGCTGCATGTGTAGCGGCTGATAACCAGTTGTGGCCGCCCACTCTTTTACTTTATCGGATCGCTCCACTTGTGAAGGGCAAGTCGGTCGCTGGGCCTAGTCGCGGAAGTCGGTGCCACGCGAAAAAGTGATGGAGAGACCAACAAGACTGCAAGAACTCTACTTGTGAGCTTGATCGTCGTTCCTGCATTTCTCGCCAGCTTGGCGGGTCCCGGTTGTACTGGATGCTTTAGGAAGGTTGGTGGGGGTGTGGGAGATATAGAGCATGTGATTAACACGGCGTGTTAAGCCTCCTTGAAGTAGACGACTCTAGACGGGTAATTCTCTATTGAGCCAATTCGGAAGGGTTACAGGGGGGAGAGGCTATATGATAATGTTAAAGAGCCGACACGGTGTCTCGTTGAGCTCCAATCATGTGTATGCATAGTGAGGTAGTTGGTCAAGATTGATTGATAGTCGCTCTGGATTAATCCCCTATGATTAACACCCATGGACCCCTGTCGCCACCCGATTCGATTGATCTCCCACTCACCCATGTCCTGCATCCCTCCAACCAGGGTCCTGAGAGGGCCCGTGGAACAAGGCAGTTTTGTGAGCTTCTCAGAACGGCAGGACACGCCTCTCTCTGCAACACAAGCGGCCACGGTTGTCGGTGGTTGAGCTTCCAGAAAAGAAACTGGCTTCTGCTGCAAACCAGCTCTTTTGCAGTGTGGCAAGCCCAGTTTTTTCCCCCTACACGACCTGCAATGTTACTTTACCTATACGCCGCTACCTCAATCAGCAGTGCGATAATACCATGTGTTTGCTGCTTTCTTATTGTACATGTGGGAGTGCCTCTTTTATCTCTTGGCGCTTGGCATCACACGTGTGGTCTTGCCTGTGAAAGCGGTTCCCATTCCTCTCTTTCTCTGGGGTCTTTTCGCTATAAAGTCCTCGGCGGGCGGGTTTTCGCTTCGCTTCAATTTGTCTAGCGGATGACACCATTTTCTTCCAACGGATCGGGAGAAGAAGAAAACGTGGGGTTCGTTCCATTCAAATAAGAGAAAGAAGCTTTGATCGAAGATTCTCTGTGAAGGCTATAGCCAAATCATCACTTCACAATGGGTCAGCTTCCCTCCAAGCCCAAGAAGGGCGCCAAGTTCCGGGTCATTGGTGCTGGCATGTAAGTCATTACCTCTATACCGACAAGAAGTAATGCAAGATCAAAAAGCAAGCTAACTCATATTTCCAGGTGCCGTACCGGTACAAAGACCCTGAACGAGGCTCTTAGCATCCTCTGCGATGGCCCCTGCCACGACTCTGGTATTCAGTCCCTCGGTGGCAGTCTCCACGAGATCAAGACGTGGCTCGATGTCATGGAGCTGGCGCCGCGCCAAAACACCAAGGAGGACGAGGAGCACATGGACTACCTGATCCGATCGCTCTTTGACGGCTACGTGGCGACCATGGACTGTCCGGCCGCGACGCTGGTGCCCGAGATCATGCGGGCGTACCCCGACGCCATTGTGGTGGCGACGACGCGCGAGCAGGCGTCGTGGTGGAAGAGCATGAAGCACATGAACGGCCTCATGTCCAACTGGTACCTGCCCGTCGTCGTCATGTGGCTGCGCAAGGCCCAGGGCTACGGCCAGTGGGGCTCGCGCTTCCAGGCCCTCAGCAAGTGGCGGTACGGCTCCGAGGGCATCCGCGAGCCCACCAAGGCCATCCACGAGGAGCACCTCCGCCAGGTCGTGCCCCCCGAGAAGCTGCACTGGTACAGCGTCAGCCAGGGCTGGGAGCCCCTGTGCAAGATCCTCAACGTCCCGATCCCCGACGTCCCCTTCCCCCACAACAACAGCAAGCTCGAGGCCGAAAAGTCCTGGCAACGCCACATCATCTCGGGCGCTGGCTCTTGGATCTTTGTCCTGGGTATCATGACTTGGTTCTTCTACTACGCCTCCATCTGGATGAACGAGGTCTCCGAGGAGGGTGAGGCCATTGAGATTTGAAGAATGAGAGAGATTGAAACCTGATTTGATCGGAAACCGGAGTTTGCATCATCTGTATTTTAAACCTATGCATTATGTAAATAGCTTGGGGTTTGTGGGCATCATTCATAATATCCTTCATAACTGCAGTTTTCTGTGTCAAAAAAAAAAGAAGCCAAATTAGACAACCGAAGAAAATCATCCCCAAGTCGCTGTCACGGCCATCCAAGGCCAACTCACTTATTGCAGGGCGTATAGTTGTTTCGGCTGGCCGCCCGAGCAAGAGCTGAATTTCCACCAACCGCTGTGCCACGAACCTCCAATGTTGGTGAGACCCCATTTGATGGGAGCTGGTATCGGCGGCCAGTTGGCCCACAGGCCGTCCTCGACCGTGCCGTCAAGGTTGAGAAGGAAGAAGGGAACGACGTCGAGGGTGCCGGCCTTGGTCACGGTAGTCTTGCCCCAGGTCTTGAACGTGGCCGACGCTGCGGCCTCCTCGGGCGTGCCGGGCTTGGGCGCATTCGGGTGGTCCTTGAGGGCTGCAATCGTCGCGATCTCGTGGTGAAAGTGATGCTCGAATGGCTCCTGGAAACCAGACATGATCTTTTGGAGCGCGGCGCCGTCAAAGTCGGATACGGACGGAAGCGAGGTCAGGTACTTTTGGAATTCGCCGAGTCCGCCGAGGAAAGCCTCTGCAAGTGGCACTTGTTAGTCGAGCTGCTCATTGTTCATGTCCTCTGTATCAGGCCGCAGCGCAACATACCGTGCTCCTTTAGTGTCTCGGACCATATGTCCTTGGCGCCGAGCACTTCCTCCACCTTGGTAAACAAGTTGGCCTCTTCATCGTCATGATGCGAGGCAACAAATTTGTGCCAGGTCAGGGCGTAGCCAATGAAGTCGCTCTTGTCGGTCGGCTGGACGTGGGGGGCTTGGTTATAGATTGAATTGTATCCTCGGAAGATTGAATTATGAAGCATAGCCATGTGACTCGCCCCAGTGGTAAAGATGTCCGTCTATATGTAAGTGGACATGTTAGTCATATCATGTACATCGTTATGTGTCGAGGCTTTGCAAAGGACCCAAATTGGCACATACCTGCTTGGTCTCATATTGCGGTGTCGTGATCAGCTTGATTGGGGTGTCAGCCCAGGGCTTGCCTTCTGATGGAGCAGTGGCCGACATCATGTATGGCGATCGCGTAAAGAACAATCCAATGAGTATAGGAATGGCAATTCGAAGAGGGTTTCCAAAGAAACCTTGCTGTGGTTGCTTCTGGACTCTTTGAGCAGGCTCCATTTTGGCAGTCTCGTTCCGTCAAAACAGGAGGGCTGGCGAGTCTATATGCAAGAAACAAACAGATCCCGTCACCTGCTTGCTCGATTACAAAGTACGCGACGGAGGTTCGCCAGCAAACATCCAGCACCTCATACGACAGACATGCGATAAGAGCTCGGGAAGCGCCCGTAATGGGGCCCCGACTTAAGCTTTGCTGAATAATTCCAACGGCTGATTGGGCTTGGGAGGGGCGCTAGGGCGTCGGGGCATAAGCTTCAGGGGTCTTGGCTGCAAGATCGGTTCCGGAACGCCGACAAGCCTCGGGATATTCCTCGTTCCATCACGCCATAGAAGCATCTTGCATTTCACCATCCAAGTGATCATCTATCTGATGAATGATTGGTCTTTCGTAAATGGAAGTTCTGTCAACCAATTCAGCGACAATTGATCTTCTAGGAGGTGCTGTATACCCGTAATACCTGTACTGTGAAGCATTGGGTGGTCTCCATTCAGGTACCTTACAAGTCAGCGGTACATACGGTAGCAGTGTCTCTTGTCTAAACGCCTTATCCCCACCATGAAAGCTGCTCTCTCGACAATGCCCCGACTGCACAACGAGCAAAGGTACAACAACAGATTTGTTGATCATCTCGTTGCCTTTAGATATTGATGACCGTTGCCAATGACACGAGAAAGGCACACATGATCTTTGGAACTAAAAATAGATTTCAAGTAAATCTCAAATAAAGCAATTCTAACAACATTCCTCAGTACTTTCATTGTTGTCATAAAAATAGCCACTCAATGATGTCTCCCTGGAGGCGCAAGCGACCAGATGGTGCCTTTGTGCCATGTGCCACCAATTCTCCTGACAAAGGCTTCGACAGCTCGTTACACTACTGACATATCTCCCTTTCGATCTTGTTTGCCCCTTGGCTGGCCATGCCAACACTGTCAAATGTAGCGAATTCTCGCGACTAGACATCTCCTGTCACATTTTCTAAATCGGACGAGTCACGATGGAATCCATGATGTCCATGATGCCGGGCATGTCCATGGGGGACGCCATGACAAATACGGCAACGGCGACGACGGGTTCTCTGTCTACAACGGCAACGGCTACAGCCAGCGCCATGATGGCTAGCATGACTGGTGTATCTGGCACCACCATGAGCGGTATGATGAATGGATGCAAGATATCAGTATGTCGCCGCCCTATTGTTCCTGCAGCGGTTCCCTGGCTTAAAGCACTGTTCTAAAGATGACTAATACTTGCTAGATGCTCTGGAATTGGTATACCGTAGATACCTGCTTCCTTTTAACGGCGTGGAGAATACGGTCGGGCGGCGGCTTTGCCGCCTTGTGCATTGGCGTTATTCTCATGACTATAGTCCTGCAGGCGCTCGGCTGGCTCGCCAAGTTCTACGACCAGCGTCTCGTCCAGCAGGCCAAGCAAGCCGCCATCCATGCCGGGACGAGCGACTCGTTGATTGCCAAGGACGGCCACCACGTCTCCTCCCCGTCGTCGTTTCGACCGAATATCACTCAGCAGGCCGTCCGGACCCTGGTACGCACCGCGCAGTTCGCCATGGCGTATTGGATTATGCTGTTGGCCATGTATTACAATGGCTATGTTATTATTTGTATCATTTTGGGATCTTTCATCGGCATCTATTTCTTTCAATGGGATAGATTGGGAGGGCTGCCGGGCTATGCGCCGGAAACGCATCCAGAACCTACTGGTTGTTGTGGGTGAGAGAGTTGGAATACATCGTGGATACCTAGGATTCTTTTTGTCGAATTGTACTATATCAAAGCATGTTGTACTGTTATATTGGCCGGTATGATGAAGGGGTAAAGGATATGGATACTGGCAGCATTGTTTTATTCTAGCCGGACGCAAATCTGAAAGTTGGCGACGGGAATACCAAAAAGAGTGGCGGATTTAGGCACGGTAACCCAATTATAGTTAGGAAGAGATTATCTTTTCCTGATTAGCGCATTTTAGTGGACTTTGCTTAGGGGAGGTCAGTAAAACTCAGCCCTGTGTGTGGGATTCAGGGTCGCAGTTCCAGTGATCGACGACCCCTACTGTGGTTAGGTCGGACCTAATCTGACTCGTGACTGTCGCAAATCTGAGAAATGCCTGATGACAAATGAGCTCCTGAATTATTACAACTGCTAACCTGCAGCTGATTGCCGACACTGTCCAAGTCGTGATCTGGGTATGACCATCAGAATACACCGAAAAGGCTTCTACTAGTTCAGTCTTGGAGCACACCTTCATCTGAGCTGTTTCGCGAGTGCGCCGCGGATGAGCAAGGTCGGATACATTCAAAGTATCTAGGAGTTCAGAAGCGCAGGAGCCGCACCCTTGTGCGATTGCTGAGTCACCTTGTTCATGATGCCAGCGCCGGGCAAGATTCGGAGCACTCAAGGCTGTTGGACATGTCGTCTGCGCCGGAAAAAGTGCGACGAGCAAAAACCAAATTGTTCGATTTGTGCCTCATTAGAGATCACCTGTCTCTACAGCGACAAGAAGCCAGAATGGATGGACGGCGGCATCCGCGAAAAGAAAATGTCTGATCATCTCAAAGCCATGGTCAAGGCCAAGGCCAACGAGCGGCGCGAGAAGAAGTGGGCTTCCGAGATTGAGGTCGATGGACACCATAGCGAAGCATCCACCGCAACCAGCAATGATGCCATGTTGGCGGATAGTATGGCCGACCATACACTTGACTCCAACACGGATCATGAGATGGGCAACAGCAGCGGCCCTTCAATGTACACCCCTGGAACCAGTGCAACAGAAGGCTCACCCACTGCTCATCCATCTCCAGACGACCAGATGGCTCGGCCAAGTTTGCAAGTGTTTGAGCCAGTGTTGGCCGAGTCAGACATTTCCGGCCATGTTGACGTGCACATAAAGCCTCATGCAAAGAAACCTTGCCCCGACGATGAATCTGAAAGAGAGCTCAACTTCTCCATGCTCTACCTGGACTATGTGGTCCCATACATGTCTCCTTTCTACAGGCCACCTTTGCTACAAGGAGGACGCGGGTGGCTCTTGGTACTTCTCATGAGGAACAAGTCCTTGTTCCACACTGCGCTTTCCTTGGCCTCATACTTTTTCTCCGTCATGGTCAACAAGACCATGCTCGGCCACGAAGATTGCCAACAGCGCAACTGGTCGGAACTCCAAAAGCAGCAACGTCTGTCTATCGAGTCCCTTCAGAAAAGCCTACAATGTCTGAACTCTCATGGCGTCGCAAACCTGTTTCATGAGAGCATACGGAGTCTGGAATGTATAATTCAAATGATCTCTTTCGATGCCACGATCGGCAACGCGGCGAATTGGAACATGCACCTCGACGCTGCATGTTCGCTCTTTGAGCAAATCATTCAACACCATGCCACGGACCGCGATCAGCCCTGGCAATCCATCCTTGCAGGTATGGACTCGCAAAGCATGGCTATTGAATTTGGCAATGGCCAACATCCGTGGTCTGCCAGTCAGGCATCATTTCGATTCCAGACTATACACCTCATATGGACAGATATTCTCGCATCTACAGCGCTAAATAGAACACCTCTTCTGGAAGCATATCACCAGCAACTCCTTGTCGGAGATAATCCCAGTCTCCAGGCTTGGGATTTCTTTGGCTGCCACAATTGGGTCCTGTTGATTATCAGTCAGATCGCGGGATTCCAGGCATGGAAGAAGGAAATGAAGCGGGCGAGGACCCTCTCCATGGTGGAATTAGTAAAGAAGGGCTCGTGCATAGAGTCGAGGCTTCGAGCCGGGATCGCGGAATTGGATCAAGTCATCATGGACGTGCCATTTGATCCCTTTGATCCGTCAGCGCGAGCTCCAGACCAACCTTTCCTTGGCTCGGGCTTTCAAACCATTACAGACTTTGGCCAGCAACGCTCCAGTGTTGCACAGGCCATTCATACCAAGATCTGGGCCAAGGCTGCGCTCACCTACGATGCTGTTGTCGTATCTGGCTTTCAGCCCGGGCTGCCGGACATTCAAAACAATGTAGCCGAGACGATTGAACTCTTCCGTGCCCTGCCAAGTCCCCTCTGTCTAAGGACGATGGTCTGGCCGTTTGCTGTCACGGGCTGCCTAGCCTTGCCGGAGCAAGAAGACTTCTTCCGCAGTATGGTCAGTAATATGGATGGAATGCAGGTGTTTGGCACGGTGAAAGAGGCTCTAAGAATCATGGAAACAGTCTGGGAGCATCGCGCTTGTATGGATGCAGACCTGTGGGATATTACAACTTGTTTCAATGTGCTCGGTCACGCCTCATTGCTGGTATGAGAGTAGTAAAACTCCGATTTCCAGGGGCCAGTCTGTCACATGAATGCAAGCTCAAGGACTTTCGGCCAAGGGCGGCCAGAAAATAATAGGCTGCAAAACATGCTCAGAGTCACAACAAAGCGAACACCGAACTGATAATGTCAAAAAAAGGCGCAAAGGTCCGCTCAGCTCCAATGGCTTCCAACGCCAGTATCATATGATTTTGGCGTCCAAAGCAGCGTGACGACGTGACTGCAACTTTGGTTATCACGGCGTGGAATAGCTGGTCTTGCTGCTACAATCCAGGTTTGTGGGTGCCTCCAAGCTGCCTCATCGGACGAGAGCCCAATGCGGCAAGGTCTTTGAGCCACTGTAAGCAGAGCGGCGATAACGGAGGATCATCACCCCGGTAGGCAGCAACCTCTTGGAACATGCGCGTTGTTTTTGAAGCGAGGCAGTCCTTGAGAAGCGACTCTCATGATGACGAAAAAAATATGTACAATTACGATGCTTTCAAGAGTGTCGATTTACTTGGTATTTCTATTGTTTGAGGGGATCTCCGCATCTCCATCTTTGCCTATCGCACATGGGAAGCAGGGGTCGTTTCTCCCCAGCACCGAGGCGGCAATCAAGCATGGACCCCAGATCTTCAATGCGCTGCACGATGCCATGCGACAATTTGGATCATCGATACACCACAATGGAATGAGCCTTTTCCAGGCGACCATGCCGACGGGCACTATCTTATATCACGGCAGCTATAGCACAGACGTACCTGAGCGTCTAGAATGGTTGGCTTTTGAGATTGAACACGCGGAGAATTTTGCTCGTGGAAGACTGAGACGACGGGATAATGCTAGCGACATATTCATGTCTGACAATGCTAGCCAGAAGCCATTGGAATCTCGTCAACCAAAGGTTCACCATCAATTAGATGACTTCAGGACAACAGAATCCTCACTAGATGGGTCCATTACCGTGTCCCGGGATCGGGGTCGATGCTTCGACAAATGGAACCCCGACGATTGCGAATTTACATCCGGTTATCTCCATGTGTTCCAAGCCTTGCGTCCGCTGAATCTGTTATACATCGACGGCATGGCCGCAGCGAAATCCGGTATGGGATCAAATGATATCGAAGACTTTGTAGTCGCCGGAAACAGAACTCGCAGTTTCTTGGAAGACTTTGTTCGCGCGGCTGAACTTTGTGAGTGGGGAGAAGCTTGGCATATTGACGGCTTCATTCGTATGGAACCTGGCTTCGAAGTCGTATATTGCAACTTTCGCGACGGTGCACTTCAGCGGCTCTCGGTTACGCGGCGCCCGCGTCAAATGTTTTCAATGTCCGACCTCATGTACGACAAGTTTGAGTGGATGCGTGCCGCGTCTCAGAGATACCACGGCTTCGCCGCCGGGCGCGTGGTTCTTGACTACTCGTCCATGGTGTCAGCCTATTTCTACCCACTCAACCTGACCAACCCGAATGCTACGCGACCCGAGCTCCCGAGATTGCTAAGCGCGACTGATGCGGAGCTGGCGGTGATCAAGGCACATCTCGAGAGGAAAACGCCCGCGGCGAGGGGTGAAACTTCAAGCCAGGGCGGCACAGATTGGCAAGGGGTGACGGATATGGTTGTTACACGCTATGCAGACGTACTCCAGCTAGGGTCCAAGTGTGAGACTGTCGAGGCGATGAAGAGGTTTTTGGATCATCTGTTGATGATGTACATTGATCACGAGCAAGATAAAGTTGACTTGAGAAAGGCGGAACAGAGTTGTGCGAAACATTACCTGTTGGGTACTGTAACGACGACACCTGAGGAGGAGCTGATTTATGCTGGAATTCTGGCGACGACTCGACTTATCTGCGATACCCTATTTCGAGCATATGAAGTAGTCCAGAACTCCGAACCAGATGTTGAGTCTCTAACTGAGGCGGTATCCCTGGTCCAAGGGTTGATGGATACGCTCCGCTGGTCAAAATGGAAGGAATGTGGGCCATGCGCATCTAATGAAATATGTTACGTCGCCATGTGGCCATTTGGGAATACCGAGGATCATTTCAGTCCGTCCTGTCTGAATGCCTCTTCGACGTTTGACAGAGACTCGTACTGGACGTGGGAGTGGCCATACTGGTGATGATTTCAGTCCATTCTGTCCGAATGCCTCTTTGACGTTCGATAGTCTAGTCACAGGCGCATTATACTTGGAGCGGCCGCTTATGAGGGTTCTACGAGTTGTCTTGGTCAAACATACAGCCGGCGTCCTTGAATAATTGAAGGAAAGATGGGATAATAGAGTAGACATGCTGATTACAGCACTGTCATAATAGCGTTGGACATTGGTCATGACACGGTGATTCGCAATGGGACCGGGAGACGGCATATATATGTTGGACCTTGGAGTCTCTCGTCCAATCCGCGCGCTCCTCTCCGTTTGCTTTGCAAAGAATTTCCATGGTGAAGCACGAGCGACAACCAGTGAGCTCTTGGGTTCTTGTAACGAAGCTGTTTCCAACATCACCACTTCCAGAATTCCGGAGTGGCGCAATGGCTCAGCGCATTGGACTTTTACCAAGGTGAATCTAAAATCCAAGGGTTCGGGGTTCGAGTCCCCGCTTCGGAGGTTTTTTTTTTCTTCTTTGCCCTTTGTATGCCATTAATTCATTACATACATACCTCTTCTTGCGATTGAGTTTGTCAATCCTTGTCGGTTGGGTGTGGTGCAGATTTATTCACCATAACGGTCAAATAAGTTCATGACACTAATAGCCACATCAAAAGTGCAGTCACCTCATTTCAATTTATCTCACTCAAAACTAATCTAATGGATTTATAAGATACCGAGGCTCAAGTGGCATAAGTTGAAGTTGTTGTACCATTAATTGAGTGTCACATAGATGTCATATGGTCGAGACTTTCTGGAAAGAGAGGACTAAGACCAGCAGTGGTCAATGCAACCATCATCTATATGTCACGGCATATACACTGGCAAATGGAAGCAAGATCAGGAACAGCAATGAGCAGGGTGTTGTCCATCTCATGCTTAAACAAGGCCAGCATTCCCGTCATCAGTAATCGGCCATTCATGACTGGCTTGATATTATCATGGCATCAGATTACTCACGATGGCAAAATCTGACCAGGTCGCAATGGGATTCATTATGACCAATGCCAAGATTTCATAATTGCAAGTCATTGTTTTCAATTCGTCGATTCAAGAATAAAGTTGTAGGGATCCAAGAAGGACTCTGGAAAAACAAGCATTTTTAATATGACGGGACTTTCCACTTTCCCGTCCGACCACATGAAAAAAAAAGAAAGAGGCAAAAAGAAAAGAGCCGACATGGGTGCAAAATGACGGTTCTCGGTGGGCACAACGGAACCCGCACAAGGGTCTTGGCGCCCGTTCTGTTCAGGAACAGTTGCCTTTCTGGGGTTGGTTGATCCGCAGGGCAGCGACCGCGGCACCCAATCGCGCTGCACCGACCGCAGACCAGCATCATGAAACATGCTCTTCTGGGACAGGTCGGCGGGCTGCGCTGTGTCGTTTTGGGGAGGACCAAGAGGCATTGTTGGGAACAACATGTCTGCCAAAACTTGTGACTTTTGGGGGGGTTTTCTCTTCTGGAAAAGGGTGGGATTGCTAATGAATGCCCATGTCCAAAATGCCAAGCCCCGCCTCAAGTCAAACAGCTCCAATACAACACGTGTGTTCTAGATACGACAGTTCGGATAGACAACCTAGGCAAAAGAAAGGCACCGTATCTATGTAGGCACCCAGACTTGCCGCTGTTCTTTTCAGCCTATAATCAATATAATCTCCATTAGATTAGGCTCATGGCCTTTATCAGGGCAAATACCGCTACCCATTGTATAAGAAGATTGCCCCCTCTTCTCTCCTGCACGAGGCACACACCTCGCAGCAGTTGGAGATCTCTTGGCAACACTGCGGCTCTTTTGTCTGTCCCCCCTCGAGTTCCAGTTGGTCAAGAAGAAGGAGTAAAATAAGGACTGTCTGCAATCTCACTCAATCATGCTCATCATGCTACCCAAGACAATGTGGTCCTGGGCCATTGAGGCCAACGGCGAACCCCACGAGGCCCTGAGGCTGTCGCAGGTGCCGATGCCGCCCTCGCCGCCCGTGGGATCCAACCTGCTGATCCGCGTGACGCACGCGGCCATCAACCCAGCCGACACGTCGCTCTTCACGGCGTGGATCCCGTTCCGGGGCCGTCCGGGCTTCGACTTTATCGGGTCCGTGGTCGGCGTCGGGCCCAAGGTGCCCGTGCAGATCAAGCGCCTCATGTCGGGCATGGAGGTGGTGGGCGCCCTGGGCCTCAGCCAGATCCTCTGGGGCGCCGGCACCCTGGCCGAGTACGTCCAGGTCCCCGCCGAGCTCGTCGCCCTCAAGCCCCCGAACCTGACCACGGAGCAGGCCCTCGGCTGCGGAATCGCGGGCCAGACGGCCGTCATGGTCATGCGCGAGGCCGACGCCGTCGACGGCCTGCGCGTCCTGGTCAATGGCGCGAGCGGCGGCGTCGGCACCATCCTGGTGCAGATCCTCAAGGCCAAGGGAGCCCATGTGGTCGGAGTCTGCTCCAAGCGAAACGAGGATCTGGTGAAGCGGCTGGGCGCTGATGAAGTAAGTCTAAAAAAGGGTGTTCTTGGTACTATGATTATCGACGGGGCTTATTTATATCCAACAGGTGATTGATTATACGGCGCACGACGACCTACATGCCTATCTGGCAGACACTTACGCAAGTCAACAATTGGATCTAATCATTGACTGCGTTGGCGACAATGCACTTTTCACCAGCTCCCCGGCATATTTACAGCCCAAGGGCAGGTTCATTGAGATTGTGCCAGGTAGAACGCAAGGCATATATCCTTTCATTATGAACCAACTGAGACCAGTGATTCTCGGTGGCACTCCGCGGCAGTACAAGATACTCGGACTCGCCCCCTCGGGCAAGTATGCCCACGAGCTGGCTCATTGGATTGAAGACGGCCTCGTGAAGGAAATCTTGATTGATTCTGAATACGGCATGAAGGATGTGGTTCGCGCATACGAAAAGCTCATGACGAGAAGAGCGACTGGAAAGATTATCATCAAGATACAGGATTGAGCGGCGAGTGCAGCCCGTTGGAGGCAAATCGCTTCCAGTGTCAATCTCCTGTTCGGATTGATGGCAGGAATTCGGTCAGGTCTCCCAACAAGCTAGTACGGCGGCAAGACTCGAATCGACACAAAAATGCTACAAAATTTGAGAGGTCATCATCATCCCCTGTCGACAAGCCAGTGCCGACATCTCCATTTGAAAGGCCGATTTCCTGCCGAGACTGGGACTAAATCATCCGTCCTCAGTCAGGGGACACGCTTGGGCAGGGTGAGTGGCCCTTGTTAATGACTTATACAGAAGGAGAAATAGGAGGGATGGATTATGGTTAGTCTGATATTTTTGGAGTTGGTTGATGCATTTTCATAACTTATTGGCGCTACCATGTAAATATACATTGCATATTTGATTGCAGCTGGAGCCACCCATTGTGGCATTGATTGATATTGGCCTAGTACGGATATACAATGAATTTCCAGGCAAGCTTGTCCCTGGGAGCTTGATATGCAGGGGATAGGAAACAGTCAACTTTGGATGACACGAATAGAGTTGACTCAAGACGAAGTTGTGTGGTAGCATCACAACCATGAACCAAACTGTCGGGCTTTCGAAACAATTCTATTGTGCAAAACGAATACAGACGAACATGCTAAGCGAAGTGTAACAAAGGTACTCTATACTTACCTAATACCCATCAACTCAGAGTTTGTGTTCGGTTATGTAGCCCGTCTCGTTACGAGCCCAAGCAAGGATTCTCCAACGGGGTTTTCTGGGGGTAGTCGGCTTGGGGGGAATCTCCCAGGGCTGTGATTTGCGGGGATATAACGCTGACAAGCAACAAAGTAGACACGCCTAGGCTTGCTAGGGCATTTCCCCAGGATTCGGGAAGCGTCTGCCCTATTTTCCACCATTCAGACCACCCTGCCCAGCATGCATCATGTACTTACGGTTCGGCCACCCGGTCCAGCACAATGCCCACCAAGTATCGTTCGACGCCATATGACCGGCAAACGAAGATTAACGAATGACATGTTCCCAGTGGTTTGAATTTCGACATTGTGGAGAAAGCACAGGAGCTGTGCTGCAGCAAATCGAGGCCTGGTCTCTTGTCTGCAAAGGCTGTCAGCTAGGTCTAGGCATGGGCTTCAAGCCAACAGGACTGACGGGCCGAACTTCCTGTAGTATACCCCAAATTCGAGATCTGACATCTTGGGAATCTCAAGAGGAGAATCAGTGAGGGGGACATGCATATGAAGGGGCTTACTGCCCCTACCACGGATTCCGTCATGTTGTGAACACTTTTTCTCTTGCTAGAAGAAGGCTGCAAAGTCAATTCTCTTCCTCATCATAGGCAGCAGAACGGAGAGAGATCTCCAGGAGCGTAAATCGACATGGCGGAAACAATTGGAAAAGAGCAAGGCGCGACTGCCACTCAGATTGAAAAGGGCAACCTCGAATACACCAAATTCGATCAAGCCGATCTCCACGACAAAGTTCTCAATGCCGAAGCTCGACAGGCCACAGCCAATGAGCACTCATTGACTCTGGTACAAGCTCTGAAGACTTACAAGAGAGCCGCCTTCTGGTCTGTCCGTAAGTGCCGCCCTGTCCATTGGAAAACTGATATGATAAAAAAGCTGAGCCGCAAAATAATATAGTCATCTCCACCACTGTCATCATGGAAGGCTACGACGTTACCCTTTTGAGTTCCTTCTTCGGCTACCCTGCCTTTAAGAGAAAGTACGGCGCATACCTCAATGAAGAGTCGGGTTACCAAATCAGCGCGCAGTGGCAGACGGGCCTCAACGACATCAGCGCCGTCGGCAACGTGATTGGCGCCCTCTTGAACGGCTGGCTCACGGCCAAGTACGGGCACCGCAAGGTCATCATGAGCATGATGGTTTTCCTTTCCGCCTTTATCTTCATGACCTTTTTCGCGCCCACCATTGAGGTCCAGCTGGTCGGTCAGTTCTTTTGCTCGATTCCCTGGGGTGTCTTTGCCACTACCGGCCCCGCGTACGCTGCCGAGGTTGCACCGCTGGCCCTGCGAGGCTATCTGACGGCGTATATCAATCTTTGCTGGTGTATCGGCCAGTTCATCTCTGCCGGCGTCCTGGTGGGCCTCGTCAACAACCCGACCGACTGGAGTTACCGCATCCCCTTTGCCGTGCAATGGGTCTGGCCGATCCCGCTCTTCATTGCGGCGTGGATGGCCCCCGAGTCTCCTTGGTTCCTGGTGCGGACCGGCCAGCTCGAGAGGGCGCGCCGCTCGCTCGAGAGGCTGTCGGAGCCGTCCCACAATGTCGACTACGACGCCTCGATTGCCCTTATGGTCCACACCGACAAGGTCGAAAAGGAGGAGCGCGCCGGCGTCACGTACTGGGACGCCTTCCGGGGCACGAACCTGCGCCGCACAGAAATCGCTTGCATGGCCTTCCTCTCGCAAATCACGGATGGCGGTATTCTCTGCTACAGCGGGTCCTTCTTTTTCCAGCAGACGGGCATCAGCGACGACACGTCGTACGCCATTGGCCTCGGCGGCACGGCGATTGCGTTTTGCGGCGTCATTGTGTCGTGGCTGTACATTGCCAAGTGGGGCCGCCGCACCATCTGGCTGGCCGGCTTCACCGTCCTCGTCGTCGTGCTCTTCCTCATTGGCATCCTCGCCTGCGTCCCGGACCAGACCCCGGCGCTGGCCTGGGCGCAGTCTTGCCTCACCCTCGTCTGGCTCGGCGCCTACTCCATGAGTGTCGGTCCCATTGTCTACACCATTGTCGCCGAGATTGGATCGACGCGTCTCCGGACGCAAACCGTCGTGCTCGGCAGGTCCACGTACTATGTTGGTAATATCATCGCTGGTGTCCTGCAGCCGTACTTTATGTCGCCAACGGCCTGGAATGCCAAGGGGAAAACTGTAAGTGACTTGATTGTTTTCAACTTTGAAAACAAAAAAAGCCATTGAGCTAACATGACTTTAGGCATTCTTCTGGGGCAGCTTGTCCTTCTTGACCACTGTCTGGGGATACTTCCGTCTTGCAGAGACAAAGGACCGTACCTTTGCCGAGTTGGACTTTCTGTTCCAAAAGGGCATCCCAGCCAGGAAGTTCGCAAGCTACCAAATCGACCAGGATGAAGAATTTTTGAGTCATGAGGCTAGACATTGAGAATCTGGAAAGGCACACAAAGATGGCGGTACTGTTTTGATTACTGCTGGAATGAAGAGCATCTGCAAAGGGACAACTCCCACATAATCTAATCTGCAAGCGCGTGCTACTTGTCTCCAAGCGTGCCAACATGACCCGGACAGGAAAATAACCTCATCTATCTTTAGTTTTCAGATCACCCATTTTCAAAAACCAGCCATTGATGGCAAATCTATGATCTTTTGAACCCAACCTCAAAGTCAAGTGTCGAAACGCAATGACCTTCTCACTCGTGTGACCTAAGAAGACTTGAATAAATCATGTTCCACCACCTTCACGCCAACCAAAAAAAGCCTGAATCTCATTCAATGAGCCAAAGTTATCCAACACTAATATGGATCGCATCTTTGAACCGCGGTACGTGAATCAATAGTATCGCGGGTTGATCAACAGTCTGGTACACTGACGGGAATGTGCATGGGAACACTTGTGGCCAGACCGCTCAGACTGGTCTCCTTGAACTCGTTGCGCATGCCCTTGGCCGTAAGACGCATGGCCCGGATGGCGTCGTCGAGGCGGACCTTTTGCATGCCCGAGCTGCTGAGTGCCAAGTTGGCGCTGGAGATGGCCTTGATGGCGCCCAGAGCATTTCGCTCGATGCACGGCGCCTGGACAAGACCGCCGATGGGGTCGCACGTCAGTCCCAAGTTGTGCTCAATGCCAATCTCGGCCGCCTGCTCGATGGTCTCGGGGCTGGCGCCCATGCACGCGGCGAATGCACCAGCAGCCATGGAGCAGGCAACGCCGACTTCAGCCATACAGCCGCCTTCTGCGGCCGAGATGGTGGCGCCTCGCTTATATAACATGCCGATGGCGGCTGCGGTCAAGAGAAACGTCGGAACGTCGCGCTCCGGGTCGTCGCTGACAAACTCGATGGTGTACTTGAGCACAGCTGGAATGATACCGGCTGCACCGTTGGTCGGAGCCGTGACAATACGCCCGCCGGCAGCATTCGTCTCGTTGACGGCCATGGCGTAAACGCTGAGGTGGTCCATGGCTGGGAAGGTGGTGCGACGTGTTGGTGAAGGCATGACTGCATGTGACAAGGATCCATGAATGCGTGGAGGACCGCGCTTGACTGAAACCTCCTTGCGAGCCAGTGCGGTCGTGGCCTTGGTCGCTTGAGGGGTGGCGATTGAGGCCTGCGAGGAGCTGTTCAAGCCAAGGCTCTGCGTGTGCGAGGGGTATAAACCTCTAGTCAACCGACGATACAGAGCTGGAGCTCGTCTGTGCAATTTCAAAGAGCCTGGCAGGACCGAATCCACTGGAGCCTGAACACCCTCAAGGATACTATTGTCCATGACTTCCCAGATGCGCCAGATCTTTTCCAAAATCTCTTCATCCGTGTATCCATGGCTCCTTTCATTTTCGAAGACGAGTTGAGCAATTGTAAGGTTATGCTTGTGGCAAAGAGCTAGCAGACTGCTTGCGTCTCGGAATGGATATCGAGGCCCCTGGTCCTGTACAGCTGCAGTATTGGCTGGTACATCTTCAGAAGCAGCTCTTGGCACGAGGTCGCCGCCTTCTGTTCCAAGAAGTCCAGCAGTCTCACCTGCGCTTTCAATCGGGTTGATTTCGGCACCAGTTCTCCGATCGCCAGCGGCATCTGAACGACGAATCTCCTTGTAATACATGTTTTCTACCAGATCGGCAGGGTGGCGGCCAGGCGCTTCTGGTTCCTGGCTCGAAGATGATCCCTCCGAGCCTAGCGACGAGGGTGCTGAAGTGGCGGCTGTTGACATGGCGCCATTGACGACAAACCCTCCACCCACGCTGAACAATTCATTGGTTGCCAACATGTTTCCTTCCTTGTCAAAGACGGTCAGACGCATTCCATTGCTGTGCAGCGCCAGTGTCTTTCCCCACTGCCATTTGAAATCGACATCGTAGTCGAATGCAATTTCCTTGCCCTTTCCCTTTCCCTCGGGAAGTCCGTGGCCAAGAAAAAGCTTCTTTTGCTTCTTGATCTGCTCAAAGCGTTCGGGCACATAGGCGGTATCTACCGTCTCGACATTGGCACTTTCCAGGCCCAGGACCAAAGCAGAAGGCGTCATGTGTCCTTCTCCCGTTAATGCCAGACTGCCGTAAATGGAGATGTGAATCTTTTCGACCTGTTGGAGGAGTCCCGCCTCCTGGAGATCTGTGATGAAAATATTGCCGGCACGCATAGGGCCAACAGTGTGGGAAGAGGACGGCCCAATTCCGATAGAAAAGAGATCAAACGTGGAAATGACGGCGTGCTCGTGATCGGCCTCACTGTAAGTGCCCGGAGCTGCCTCATCCTCGCCATCTTGAGCTGCGGCTACGGTGCTCTGGCGCCGTGTCTGCCCAATTGTCTGAAGCGAGCTGTTTCTTGTCCATTTTGTCGGAGACGTCAGCGCCACGGGACTGCGAGACTGAACTCTGGTCGACAGTCCGCAGGTGCTCTGTCTACTAAGCGTTGCCCCGTTTACCACCCTTCCTAGCTCCCGCCCGAGCCCTCTCGCGCCAGCGCGGCGCATCGCAGCTCAGAAAAGAAATACTGACCAAAAGGTAAAAAGACGATGATGAGAATGCAATTGGTGTCAAATTATGGTGTTGAAGATATTGACAAGAGACAAGAGACGCGCTGACTGGCCACAATTGCTCCTGCTCAACAACGAGTAGGAATTAGGCTGTTTCTAATACGAGATAAGCAGTGTGCTTGGCCCCCCCTGCCCACCAAGCAAGCAGCAGCTCAGCCTCTGATAAGGCCACCAACCAATGCCGCTGCAGCAATTACACCGCCGGGGCCTTTTACGCGGGCGCTGGGGCCGCTGTTAGGGCTGAACACCGCCTAACGAGTGAACGAATGGGCGCGGGATGCCCGAAAGCTGTAATTGCTGCTAAAAAGTGACGTGTAGATGAAACAGGTTGTTGCACATGTGAATAAAGACGCGCACCTCTTTTTTGTTTGCTGCCAAACAGGCAGATTCGACCCTCACGACCTATTTCAGATATATACTCCAATGTATAGACCCCTCCGGGACCGGGATCGTTTCCGCTTTTTTGGTAATCGGATTGGCAATCCGAGTAGCATAATAAGTATTATTATTAGTTCATGAGCTGGTGCCTTGACTAATGTGCATTAGCGACACAAAGTTTACATATGGCGAACCATCATCCCCCCAATGAATCCGCCCCGCAGTTGGAACTGTCGCTTGTGTATACCCTAAAAGGAGACAGTAAACAGTACCTCTCGTAGTATACACATATTTTCTTTACGGCTGACAGCTTTCAATTTCATGCTGCTAGTTATGTGTACTTGCAATTGATCACGCGTCTTTTCAGATGCGATTCCTTTCTGTTTCCCTGCATATTTCAATTGATACGAATCAAAGTATAGCGAAATCGATCGTCCGGTAAGTGCCTCCCCGATACCGTCGGTATCTAGGCCGACCACCGATACACTTACAACCATGGAAATGCATCAACTATACGGGTTTTATAGATGTTTCCATGCCCTTTTGAGTCAATCAAGCACGAGTCATATCTATCGAAACATGACATCCTTGATTGTTACGCCATAAATTTGGCAGAGTATTGGCTGTCTAGTGTATTCACGTTATAACTGAACGAGTTGGAAGTAAACAAGTAGCGCACTTGGATACACGTCGAATGCTGACACAATGTCGGGACTTCTCCTTCTTTGATGACATTCATCATAAACATACTACTTGGATACCTTCCTGATACCCCAGTAAGTCGAAACATTGACAACAGGCGAGCTAGGGGAGGCAAGAAATGAACGTTAGAAAAGAGAAAGGGAAAGCGTAGGCTACGATGAAAACTAGTCAAGTGGCCCTGTTAGGTGACATGTTTAGCATGCAAAGCAGAGATGAGATTTGTCTATATTATTTTATTCGCGCCTTGGCGCCATGTCATCATGACTTTCATTCCAAATTGTCCCGCCTTAAATGTACAGGTCTATGGAACACAAAGTCTATCGGACCTCGTTACTTCTATCTCTTGATAGTATATCGTCAAAATATGGTACATTGTACAGTAAAACAAAACTCCCAGACAGCTCTTGTCGCAAGTCTCAAGATGTTACAAAGTTGTGGTGGTATAAATGTTAATTGGTAGAGCCAAAGGCCAATTCGAGGCGACTGATGCTCTATTTGGTGCGCTTGGCCTCGAGCTCCTTCTGGTATTTGGCGACAAGTTCCTTCCTATACGCTTGTTAGTAACAAATGTCAAACAAAAATTACAATCGTTTAGAAACTTACTGCAAGTGTGGTGGTGCGGCGGCGTAGTGGCTGAACTCCATACTGAACTCTCCCTTGCCCTGAGTAGCGGCTCTCAGCTGGCTGGAGAAGCCAAACATGGCGTTCAAGCTGCAGTCGGCAATGAGGGTGAAATCCTCACTGCCAATTTCGGTATCGACAATCGTGGCGTTGCGCTTGTTCATCAACATGAGAATGTTACCCTGGAACTCATTGGGGGCCGTAATGGTAGTCTTCATCAGCGGTTCGAGAACGGCACCACCGGCGTCGTCAAAGACCTTTTGGAAGGCCATCTGCGCAGCCAAAGAGAAAGCGAAATCGGACGAATCCGTAACGTGCGTAGCACCATCGTTAACAACCATCTTAGCACCGATGACCATGTGGCCCAGGAGAGGGCCCTTCTGACAAGCATTCTCGAAACCCTTACCACAGGCAGAGATGAACTTGTCAGGAATGGCACCACCGACGACTTGGTTCTCGAACGAGTTGGACTCGGGGTCTGCGTTGGGCTCGATCCAGCCGCCCACTCTGGCGAAATCTCCAGGTCCACCAGTCTGTCTGCGGAGAAGGTAATCAAAGTCGGCGCGTCGGGAAATGGTCTCACGGTAAGCGACACGTGGTTGACCAGTGATACATTCGACCTTGTACTCACGGCGGAGACGCTCAATGTAAATTTCAAGGTGCAGTTCACCCATTCCAGAAATGATTGTTTCTTCACTCTCCTCGTCGACGAAGAGACGGAAGGTGGGGTCTTCACGCTGGAATCGGTTCATGGCCTTGGAGAAGTTGTCGGCATCGGTACTCTTCTTGGGCTTGATGGAGAGCGACATGACAGCATCAGGCACGAACATGGAAGACATGGTGTAAGGCAGGTTTCCGTCCGTGAATGTGTCTCCAGAGGCACAGTCGACACCAAACACGGCGCAAATTTCGCCGGCACCAACAGAATCGACGTCCTCCATCTCGTTGGAGTGCATTCGTACAATACGAGGAATGCGAACCTTCTTGTCGTTGCGTGAATTGAACAGGTAAGTGCCCCTTCTCAAGGTTCCTTGGTAGACACGAATGTAGGTAAGCTGTCCATAGTTGTTCTCTTCCAGCTTGAAAGCAAGACCAACGAACGGTAATGAGTTGTATGGCACCAACTTTGTCTGCGCCTCGCCCTTGGACTTGTCGAGGGCCAAGTTCTCGACATCGGCAGGGTTAGGGAGGTAGTCGCAGACACCATCAAGCATGGGCTGGATAGACTTGTCGGCCAGAGCAGAGCCCATCATGACGGGACTGAATTTGAGACCAATGGTTGCCCTGCGGATGGCGGCCTTGATCTGAAGAGGAGTAGGTGTCTCCTCGTTCAAGAAGATCTCGGCAATTTCGTCGTCCACATCGGCCAACTTCTCGATGAGTTCCTGTCGCTTCTCCTCACAGAGCTGCTTCAGGTCGTCTGGTACTCCATCGACGGTACGAAGTTGAACGCCACGAGGACCTTCATTGTAAATGGACTTCATATCAATCAGGTCGACAACACCCTTGCACTGGTCCTCTATGCCAATGGGGACCTGAATGGCGGCTGCGGGAATCTTGAGCTTGTGGTTAATCTGCTCAATAACTCTCCACGGGTTGGAGCCCATTCTGTCCATCTTGTTGATGAAACTGATTCGAGGAATGTTGTATCGCTTCATCTGTCTGTCCACCGTGATGGTCTGCGATTGGACACCACTGACGGCGCAGAGAATCATGACGGCACCATCCAGCACACGCAGAGCTCGCTCGACTTCTATCGTAAAGTCAATGTGGCCAGGTGTGTCGATCAGATTGATGTGGTACGTCTCCTCCTTGCCGTCCTCGACCTTCTTCCAGTCACAGAACGTGGCAGCAGACTGAATGGTGATACCCTTTTCTCTTTCAAGGTCCATGGAGTCCATCTTTGCGCCAACACCTTCCTTTCCTCTGACCTCGTGGATCGCCTTGATACGGCCGGTGTAGAAAAGAACTCGCTCGGTAGCCGTCGTTTTACCACTGTCGATGTGGGCCTAAGGAAGTGTTTAGTATATTACCGACTGCCATTGATCTTTGTTATGCCCATGTTGCCAACGTACCGCAATACCAATGTTTCGCACTTTCGACAATCGGTGTCTCTCCTCGGGGCTCATCTTCTCGTAAACGGCCTCGGGAGTGAGGTTCGCGGCATCCTCGGCGGCCTTTCTCAAGCTGCGTTCCAAGTCGTCGTCAGTCATCCATTTTTGGGTATTTCGTTTACTGGGGACCTAGATCGGAAAGAAACTCACGCAGCCTGGGCGGCAGCAGCGGCATTTCCAACCGCTGCCCGCTTTGGTCTTGACACATTGAAGTATCTGCGGCCCTCAATCTGTACAGGCGCCTCCCTCCATTGAACCCGTGGCTGCGATCCAGCGCTCTGGGAGCAGATGCCCATGAAGCGGCCACTGCATCTCGAAGTCAACAAGCGGCTGTCACTGAGGACTGCCGCTGCTCTGAGACCTCGCATCTTGGACAGGCAATCTACAAGACCTGACAAAAGGAACAATCACAAGAACGGAAATGACTAAAAATGAGTGGAAATTGGCCTCTTGCGTCGCGAATGTTCAACGCGCCTCAACTGCCTCACCAACTGCTCAGGAACTTTTTTCTCTCGAGTTTTTTTCTGGGACTAGCTAACTTTGCCGCTGGACTGATTGGCCGATGCCTTAGCTGCAGGGTCCATAACATCCATTGGGGAGGCTCCTGATTAACCCGTAAAAGATAGACCTCACCAAATAAGGCTAGCGTTTTACGAATTTATGCCTCGTTCCTGTCGCAACCAAAATATCACATTCATCGTTCGATAGTCTGATTACCTCATGCATTGTCGGTTGCAGTATACAATGTGTCGTACAGAGCAAATGTTTCTGCTACATGGCTATTCAGTGCACTAAACTGTGAGCAATAAACATTTTTAATGGCGCTCTCCTACTCTTCAAAATTAAAAACTCCAGCAAAGGGTCTAGAAGTGCAAACTCGGAAGCACTAAGGTGTCACTTACCCAAAGCCGTCCTACCGTGGGCGCTCAATAGTGCTACAAATATCCATAGCAATAGAGTCTAGACTTACAAAGAGCTGTCCAGTGAATTTCGGACATGATTATCGGATCACGACCCAACATTTCATGATACTGGTGGCTTTTCTTGCCAGGTACTATCACGATATCATTTAGATAGAGACTGCGTTATTTCATGCTTGTCAGCCCGGGCGTGAAGACTTTTACCTATACATCGTATTGATGCAGTGGTTGTCTTCCTTTGGCCTGCTCATATCCGATATTGTTGATTATTTAAAGAAAAGAAAAGAAAAAAGGTCGTTGAGAATTCTCGGAATTGCAAGGTTTATAAGTTTATGTCTTTGCCGTATCCCGCACCGGAGCAATTGATCAGAGAGTGGTCGATACTCGGACTTAAAAGGATCTACATATCCAGTGTCCAGTAGGGAACTCCCGGAGAGACGAGCATATTTTCCGCGTTAGTATGGCACATTATGCGGGCTAGCCAGAGCATCCCGTCCTACCCCAGGTTCAGGGTCGTGTTAGTGCGGCTCGGTTGACAATCTAACGCAGAGACACCACCAGTCAAAGGCATTTAGAATTCACCTTACACTTGTTTACCATCGCCTGCCGAGGAAGATTTTGAAATTTGGAATTATCGAAAATCCACAGAGTACTGGTATTATTAGCATCAAAAGTGCCATACATGTCTTCTTCTCTCAGGTGCCATACCCGCTTTCACCCATGGCGCCATGGTCTGCTGGTGGAGAAACAGATTCGGCAGACAAGACTGGGGGCTCTTTGCCGCTGACCGCTCCGTACACGCACCATACATGTACATATCTCGTGGCATGCAGCTTCGCTTGATATGAGCGGGACTCTCCTGCAGGATTCTTCTAGAAACATATATCCACTTCACAATTTTTTATTCAAAAGGATAAGGAAAGGTGCTTTAGGCTTATACGTGTGTTTACTGTGTTAAGCGAACAATTTCGCTTCTGTTTTCCGCAGGTTGGTTAGAGTATGGAGTTGCTCAAGAATAGTATAGATAAAACATACGCATGTCTGGTCTACGTAGCCCTTGAAACTCAAAAGCTTGCGCCGCTCAACTTATCTCAAAGGTCACCTGCCATCCCAGGCGGAGTCGCGACGGTTCAGGAGGACGACACCCTGAGGTCTCAGGACACCGGAGTTGCGAGTTTCCTCTGTACGTCTGTATTCTCCATACTGCAGATCTCAGTGGATGAATTGTCATCCTCACCGATCGAGATAAGGTTTCTATCGTGTACACAGGAGCCGGTCCAACCGGCTGGTTGACTGACTGGATCCCGCAAAAGGCGTACAATGAGCATGTTGTTGATGGAGCAAGACCAGCATCGTGCAGAGCCAGCGAACGATGCGCTCGGCAGCTGAATTCGTTCTAGAAGTATTTTTATCCAAAAGAGAAGTCTTTATCTTGTGTTTGCTGTCCAGGCCTTACTCAGGAGGCCCGGGGCATCCACCGCCTAGGCTGATGAATGGGGTCCATGATTCGATAGTTTGGTAGGGAAAAATTATCTCGCCAACCCAGAGATGCCAACACAGCTCTGACGCGAAGATCTTAGTTTGGACCCGAAAGCTGCGGCAATCCAATGGATCATCAGCCTCAACGATCGTGCGACGCTTTTGCTGGGGTGTTTTCGGGTAGCAAACTCTTATTTTTCACTTCCTCTTCGCAGGAGCTGAAATGACTGGCCATGAACAGCATACGCAACTCCCTTAGACTCAATTTCCACGATTTGGCCGGGTGGCGGTGAATCTGAATTACATGGAATATGGTCGAGCAAGGCAAACCCTGGGTTGGGTTTGTCTGGACTTTGGGGACACGGGAGATTCGTGAGCCGCGTCTTGTTGAGTTCGTCTGCTGAGCTGAGCTCCTTTTTTCTCCCACCGCACCTTTTGGACCCAAACTTCTCTCTCATCACCGGCCAGCCAGCCACAACATCCACGGGGTGTATCCACCGAGTTCGTGAACATGACCGCCGGGTGACCCGTCCGCAAAACGTATGGCGGTCGACAACTCTCAGGGTCCTCCGGGTCCGTCAAAAACTCCTCAGCTATCCCCACACTGGCGGGTCTCGCCTTGACAAACCACTGGTTCAGCCATAGTGGACTGAGGGGTCTCGGTCCGTTATAGTCTAGCCTCGTTAGCACCCCTGAGCCTCACCAGGGGCAGTGCGCCGTACATGGCCCGCCGAACGTGAGCTTGCCATCCAAATCTCTGCCTCGTTGCAGTATTGTATCATGTACGACCTGAAGGTCCAGCATGCCACGATGGGGCCATCTCACGATATTCAGCTACCGATGTCGTCGCCCACCGTGAATGGTTATGAATCAATACGAGAGTGTCATCTTAGCCGGTGGGCATCGTAGGGGATCTGCGTCTGCACGAACCGAGTGAACGGTCCGGGAGTCGCCCAACTACAGAGGACTCCATATGTATATTATCTTGTGATCCGCCTCCTCACGCCCTGACTGAGTCCCTGTGCTCTCCAGGTCCATATGTAATTCTTTGCTATAATAAGGCTCTTCTTTTCACACCACGAGGATTTCCTCATTTCGTTCGGAGACCCAACCCACCTTTGACAAGCTCCAGTCCGTCTGTCGACACTTTGAAACATCCGTACGCTCATTCACCAGCCCATTTTCCCTATTTTTGTCGTTTTCACTTCATACACTCATTCTCTCACGGCTTAACAAGCCCCCCTTTACTGATCAATGCATCTAAAACAGCCCCATCTGTCGTGGCCAAAGCGCGGCAAGAAAAATCGTGTTAGCAAAGGTCTCTCAGAGGCTCTCGGTGGTACATTAGGAGCCCTCGGTCTTGAAAGACGGGACGACGATACAGGTATGCAGGCGGATTTGTGTGGCGTTGAAGGAAAACGAACAGAAATGGAGGATACTGACACGCCGAAACGCATATAGATTCCCAGATCAGCCGCACATCTTCACGCGATCCATCGCCACCTCCCATCGTGCTGCATCCAGCCGAGCCAAAGACAACACAAAAGGTCGAACAAGTCAAAAAACCAGACGACATGTCGATTCTCAGTGCCCTCCGCAAGTCCAAGTCGGAGCACCATGACCAACATCACAACCCCCCAGCGAGGCCAGCAACGCTGCCCGTAGTGGGCGCAGTGACTCTGCCCGTCCCCCAGGTCGCCCGGAAAAGCCGCAGGCTCTCCGACGCATCGAGCATCACAGACTCATCCACACTCAACCAAGAGCCTGTCACAAAGGAGCAACCCAAGAGCGGCTTCCTCAGCAAGACCAAGGATGCTATCATGGGCCGCTCGCGGTCTCCCAGCCCATCTGGCCACAAGAGCAGCAATGGCGTTAGTGACGCAGTGCGGACCTTCCGCAGCCAGTTCGATGAGGAGCTGAAGGGTACCAAGGAGGCTGCTCTCATCGCTGGCATCAGCCACGAGAGCTTCCTGGGCTTCATTGCCGACGAACGCCTGAGGCTCATGCCCGCCAAGGGCAGCCGTTGGGACAAGTTGCTCAAGTGGGCCGAAGATTTTGCCACAAAGATTGCCATCTTTGATCACAGCTACCGCGATGAGATTGACGGCTGCAGCCAGGCAGCCGAGCTTATCTTCGCGTGCCTGCAGGCTCTTCTCCTGCTTGGCCCCAAGCAGGGTGAGGCACTGGAACGTGCCTTTTCCGTGTGCCACGAGTACGGCCTCACCTTCCAATTCTACAGCCGCAACACCAAGGTCCTCGACTCCATCCCCGAGGCAATCCGACAGCTGGGCCTGGCCCTGACCGACATGGTCGGCTTCGCCGTCGAGGTGGCGGTCTTCTACCGCAAGAGCGCGCGTGCTATGCGCACCACGAGCGTGACGGTGGATTTCAACGTGACCTTTGGCTCGCGCATGGCATCCTTCTCCAGCCGCAAGGACCGCATTGCCGAGCTAATGTGGTCGTGGCAGCTGCAAAAGTCTGCCGAGACATCGGGTAAGTAAATGATGTGGTGTGGTGCGATGAAGGATGAATCAAGGAATGAATGACGGCTGACGTTGAAATAAAAAATCACAGACGTGCATGTGTCGATCGAGACCCTGCGCCAGTGGCTCCTGCCGCAGGATCATTCCCTGCAGCAGCGTGCTCTGGTCCGTGCACCTGGCGCCGTCCGGGCCGAATTCACCTGTGAGTGGTTCGACCGGCCGTTGACCGACTTCTCCCGTAGCCGGGACAAGGTGCTCGTCGTGTCGGCTGCCGCCGGCGCCGGTAAGAGCTACCTCTATGGCTGGATCCTTGAACGCCTCCAGCGTCGTGTCGGTCTCAAGGAGTGGTCGTCTGTCCACGCCTCCATCGACACCCAAACGCGGGCCCAGTCCACTCAGACGGCCCTGGTTAAGACGCTGCTGCTGCAGCTTCTTGAGCAGAACGTCGGCAATATCGAACTGTTCCGTGCTTTGGCCAACGTCACCGAGCTGAGTGCCAACACTGCCAGCACTCAGGATGCCGACGATGCCCTCTGGTACACCCTTGATACCGCTCTCAAGGGCCTCCGCAATGTCATGCTTGTCATTGACGGTCTTGACGCTGTCGACGGCGGCGAGGAGGAGGTGCGCGACGCCTTTGAGCACCTGCACTCCATTGCCACCAAGCACGCTCAGGTCAAGGTTATCATCCTCAGCCGCCCCCTTCCCCAGGGCTGGCCCAAGAAGGTCCGTTCCGCGGCCATTGACACAGCCCACTCCACCATTGATGTCAAGCACATGTTCCGATCCTACCTCCTGTCCCGCGGCATTGCGACCAAGTCCGAGGCCGACAAGGTCGCCCAGGAGCTTGCTGAGCGCAGCAAGGGCTCGCTCGCTTGGGCCGATCTGGCTGTACAGCTCTTCGCCAAGGCCACCACCTTGGCCGAGGTCCAGACCGCCACCAAGGCTCTTCCCAGCACCCTCAAGGACGTGATCAACGCCCAGGTCAGCACCATTGATGTCACGAGCAATGCCCGCTACTTCCTCAGCTGGCTGCTGGTCACTGAACGGCCCTTGGCCGTCTCCGAGATGCAGGCCCTCCTGGAGCTCAACTTGAAAAAGGCCTCCCGCGAGCCCCTCTCCATCAACATTGTTGATGAGATCCAGAAGACCTGCGGCTCCCTCGTTGTCATTCAGGACAAGACGGTGCGCTTCCGCAATGAATCCATCCGTCTGCACCTGCTGGAATTGAGCAAGAGCAAGGACCAGAAGTTGCTCTTGCCCGCCGCTGAGGCCCACAAGGACTTCGGTGCCAGGCTCATCCTCTACATCAAGACTTCCGTTGCTCGCAACACTGAGCCTAGCATGGGTGAGATCAGCAACGGCGAGGCTGAGACTCTTTTCCGCTCCCACTCTCTACTCGAGTATGCCGCCCGCAACTGGCTGGGACACTTCCAGCGCTCTGCTTACATGCTTGACGGCAAGTTCCAGGCCTCGTTCGCCGGCGAGCTCAAGTCTATCTTCCCAACATCCACTCTCCTGGCCAATCTCGAGCGTCGCTGCTGGGAGAAGTCCGCCCTCATCACCAAGGCCAATGAAATGCATCTCGCTGCCTTGGACATTCGCAGACAGGTTGTCGGCGACTCGGCACCATCCGTCCTTCAGGGATGCATCAACGTGGCCATGTCTTTCAAGAAACTGTCTGCTGATGCTGACGCTAGCAAGTACTTCTTCCAGGCTGCCAAGGTTGGACAGTCAATTCTCGGCCGCTCCAACGACCTTGCTGTTGCTTGCGCCACTGCCTCCCTTGACTGTGCCAGCAAGGTTGCCGGCAAGCTGACGGCTCGTGATGAGTCTGTCAACCAGCGCGAGGAGATGCTCAAGTTCCTTCTCGAGACCGAGAAGGAACGCTACGGTGCCAACAGCCGACTTGCTAGCAAGTACAGCAACCAGCTTGCCGAGATGTACAGCGACATCAAGGAGAATGAGAAGGCCGAGGCCATCTACCGTGATGTCTACAAGACCTCGGTTGCCCAGAACGGCGAGTTCTCTCAGGAGGCCTCTGCCGCTGCTGAGAAGCTGCAGGCCGTCCTGTACAAGGAAGCCAAACACGAGGACGTCGTCCAGTACACCGCTCCCATCTTTGAGTCTGCCCAGCGCAACCTGGACATCTTCGACATTCGTCGTGTCGAGATCACCATGCGCATGGCTGAAACTTACGAGAATAAGAAGGATGTCTCTCACTCCGAGGAGCTGTACATCTCTCTCTGGCGCGGCCTGACCGAGTACTGCCGTAAGACTGCAGCCAACTCGTCTGCCTCTGCCGCTCAGATCAACGAGGCCCACGAGCGCAAGATCCAGATCAGCATCGCCTACGCACGCTTCCTCCGTCGCCAGGGTCGCGATGCCGAGGCTCAGAATATTCTCCACGGCATCTGGCTCGACTACCAGCACCGTGAGCAGAAGTCCAGCGCTATCGTCAAGCAGCTGAACGTTGTTGGTGAGGAACTCAAGTCCATGGGCATCCTGGACACCGCCATTGCTGTCTTCAAGTCCGTCTGGGGCTACTTCAAGGGCACTGGTGAGCAGACCTCGACTGCCGCCGTTGGCACTGCTGTTGCACTCATGGGCGCAGTTCAGGAGAAGGCTGAGAAGAAGGCTGAGCTGAAGGCTGCCGCCAAGGTTGAGGGATCAACTGCTGATGCTGATGAGAGTGACGACGAGGATGACGATGATGAGGCCGATAAGATTCTTGACGAAGTTGCCGAGGCCGCTGTCACCGCCCCGGCTGCTCCTGCTGCTCCTGCTGCCAAGGGTCCTACCTACGCTGCTGTCGCTGCCAAGGTCACCATTGAGGGCTCGATCCAGACCTGCGAAACTCTCTCTCAGTTCTACATCTCTAAGGGACGTTACACTGAGGCTATCAACGTGTGCGTCAAGCTACTGAAGGAGATTTGGCCCGACATGGCCGTTGCTGGCAAGTGGGGTTTCCCCAAGGCCCACCGCGCTGCCGTCATTACCTTCTCGCGTCGTCTGGCATGGTGCTACGCCAAGGCCAACCAGACTGAGCAGGCCGAGAAGATCTACAACGCCATCTTCCAGTCTTCCCTCCGCTCTGGCTTCCGCGTCCAGGAGGCCATCGTCACCGAGTCCAGCAACCAGCTCATTGAGTTCCACAAGCGTACTCAACAGTACAGCAAGGCCCTGTCCGTTTACCAGCAACTGCTGGAGAACTACCGCACCTCCCTCGGTGCACGCAACGCTCTCACTGTCCAGCTCTTCTACACCATGGGTGACCTCTGCACTCAGTACAAGCTGCGCGGTGCTGAGACTTACTACCTAGAGGTTTTCAAGGCTGAGAAGGGAACCGATGGTGTGCTGAGCCAGTCCTCGATGCGTGCTGCACTCGCGCTCCAGAAGGTCTACTACGAGCAGAAGCGCTGGGAGCAGACACGTGAGATTTACGCTAGCATCTGGGCTACCTTCACCGCCAAGGCCAAGGAGTACAACATGTCCACTGAGATGGTCCAGTCTATCTACAAGCGCTACACCACTGTTCTCGAGACTCACCTGAAGGTCGATTTGGAGACCCTCCGCACCATCTCGCTGCAGTACCGCGACACGTGCTCCAAGGTCTATGGAGCCAATGCGCAGATCACCAGCTCCGCCAGCCTCGCCCTTGCCGACGTGTGCCGCAAGAGCACCAAGGCCGAGCACCAGGCCGAGGCCATCAAGATTTGCGAGGAGGTCGTTGCCCAAGCCGACAAGGCTCCCGCTGACGGTAAGACCAAGACCAAGAGTGCCTGGGAGCTGTCCCTTCTGGCCAGCGCCAAGCGCAACCTCGCAGCCCTGTACGCCAGCCAGACCCAGGCATCTACCGACAAGGCCGCTGGTGCCGAGACCAACGAGAAGGCTGTTACCCTGTGGAAGGAGCAGCTGGAGATCAACAAGAAGCAATACGGTATCTCGGGCAAGGCTACCCTTGCCAGTCTCTCTTCCCTCGTGGGCATGTGGGCGCGTTCGGGCAAGCCCGAGCTGCGCACTCAGGCACAGCAGCAGCTCCGTGGCACCGTAGTTGAGGTCCTGGGCGAGTCCTGCGGCGCTGGTGCTTCCACTGACTCGACCAAGCTCCACGGCTCTGCCGTGTCCCTGGCCAACACCTACCTCTCGTGCAACATGTCTATCGAGGCCTGGGTGCTGCTGAGACAGCTGCGTTTCCAGATCATCGGATGGGGCAAGATTTCTGGAGAGGCTGCCAAGGATTCCTCCATCAAGCTGCCTGAGGGTGTCGACCGCCGCTCCCTGGTCTTCATTGCCGCTTTCGAGGAGACGCTCCGCGCACAGCAGGAGGCCAACAAGGTTGTCAAGACCAGCTTCTCGGACATTATGACTGACATGCTGACCGAGGGCATCCTCTACGACCGCTACAACCTGTCTGTCTCCACGGCCGATATTTCGGTTGAGCAGAAGCTGTTTGACGGTGCCCGCCTGTACGCTTTCCTCAAGACCACCGATGCCGAGCAGCACGCTGAGCAGCTGCGCGTCATTGAGGATGCTCTGTTCAAGCTCTTCTTCGACCAGTATGGTGGCTCGATCAAGTCGCAGCTCACCGTCACGCGCACCTTTTTCGCCGCTCTTCTCATCGAGCTCGGTCAGCTGCGCCACCACGAGGACCTCGTTCTGGTGGCTTGCTGGGCTATTACTGCCAAGGCCCGCATGCTTCTCGAGGCCGGCGATGCCGCAGGAGCTTTCGACATCTCCAAAGTTTTGTACCAGTTCCTTTCGGCACAGAAGGCCTTTGCCAACCCCCAGGTCATCCCGTACGCCTTCAAGCTATCTCTGTACCTCGCCGGTCTTGGTGTCAAGGGCTCCAACCCCGAGGCTACTCTACACACGCAGATGCTCGAGCTTTCGACAACTGTGCTCCGCGAGACCCTTTCAGCCTGCCGCACCAGCAACATCAACCTCGTGTCGCTCCAGCCTACCGAATTGGACAACCTGGTGCGCCTTATGGGGGAGCAGCGCAACTATGCGGACCTCGAGTGGCTGTTGGAGCAGCTCTGGCTCAGCCGTGTGGTCCAGAAGTCCTGGGACGCACTCACCGTGGTTGGTGTCGGCCGTCGCCTAGTACAGGTGTACTCGGTGCGCGGCAAGCACGAGCAGGCTGTCCACCTGGCCGAGAGCATCGTGTACAACTTGCGCCGCACTTGGGGCCCTTTGGACTCGACTACTGTGGCAATGGCAAACATGCTGGCCGAACTGCTGGCCAGCGACTCTCAGTACGCCGAGGCCATGGATGTGCATGGAGAGGTTCTGCAGGCACTGTTGGAGCGCAACGCAGAGGCCGAGGAGAGCGAAGACGACAGCATTCAGCCCTTTGCCTCATCCATGTCCCTCATGACAGCCGCGCTTGGCAAGCAGCGCAAGCAGGAGAAGATCACCGATGGCCGTGCCGCCCAGCTTGCTTTGGAGCAACTGCGCTGCGTCCAGAACGTGTACGCACGCAACGGTGGTTGGGCCGAGGGCGAGTGGGAGACCAACGGCGAGGAGCTGGTCCGCTACGTCGTGGACGAGTTTGGCTCCGTCGCACCGGCCGCATTCAAGACCTTCCCATCCGAGGTCGGCGCCTGGAACAAGACCGCTCCTCCGGAGGAGAAGCCTGTAGCTCCCGCCAGCTGGGGCTTGCAGTGGTCGTCTTAAGCTTAGCAATGTTTGCTGAGATGATTGTCGTGCTTTTAATGAGGTTCTTTCTTGCGGATTGTAAAAAATACAGTGTGTACAAATAGGTGTCATTTAGCATATGGGAGGTAGCATTTTTTTAAGGGGAGCACAGTTAATCATTAATATCATTGTTTTCCATGTTACAGCATGGCATAAGAACCAGTCCGTGAATGATCATTATTCTTGAAATATGCATCAAGTATAGAGCTGAGATATGATATAGATGCGTCACGGGAGCCACTAAGTCGTAATGGTTGATTATTCTCCGTGCGAGCGATTTCCCACGATAAGCAGGAGACGAACGATGATATTAAACGCTTAAGAGTTAAGCATGGATGTACCCGCCATAATAGAATCTCAATAAGA